CATCATTAGCACCTCTAGTAATATATTTACTGAGAAAAATGTTGACGTGTTCAATACTTATTTTACCCGCTGTAGGTTTCCATAATATTCAGCAACATCAACAGTTTGAAGATGAAGAGGCACAAGTAAATTATTTTCCAATTATTTGACAGTTTTTGCATTTATACACACTGAAAAGTGTGTATTTCGGAGGTCAACACTTTTATATAGTTTGCTTATGGTATTGACCTAAAAAGCACCTGTTCATTTCATAGGTGGACGGAAACCAGATATTTGGTGATGCTATGCTGACACCTGCTGGATAAAACTAAACCACATTTTTAAATTTGTTTCAAACTGCTGATGACAGTGAATGAAAACCCCTAAAAGATTCAATGTAAAAATGTGTATTTATGACTCTTGGGATGGTTTTATACTACAATCATACCACGATCCAACTCGAAAGATCCCCTACACCCACAGCTAACCTAATGTAGAGCAACTGCAAGATAAACCATAAAACAATAAAAAAAATGTTTGGTAGCACTAGCCACAGCTATTCAGTGCTGTTACAAAGAAATAAAAAGACAAAAGTGTTTTTGTTTTCTTCATTGCAAGTGTCTAAAAAATGATTAAATCCAAATATTTTCTTCAAACTCAGCCACCAACAAAAGAAAGACTCATTATTTCGTATTCAAAGCTGGTTTATTCAACTCACATTTAGACCCTTAGGCTTCTGGTCACACAAAAATAAGCACCGCTCTCAGTGCCCTTACAGTTTAACATGCTAAAAAATATTAATAATCAACACTGCATGTAAATAAATTCTCAGAGAAAAAAAAGTCATTTTTTAAAAAAAGTGCTGTTTGGAAAGCTTGATTTAATAATAATAATAATAATAATAATAAAAAGAACAAAATGATATTAATCACAGCTAGAATGTCACAGCTTCCCAAGTTCTGATAAGAAACAACAGATTTGTATTGGATGTACTAGAATTAATGATGCAAATAACTGTGATCTCATGTGACACTGTCACACAGAACTATATAAAAACTCTAAAAAAGGGCACAAATTTGAAAGAAATTCGAATCAAATCAAACAGTCTGTTATTGTACAATTTATTTACAGAAGCTGTGGCCTCAAGGTAGTTTTGTTTCAGACACATTTGTGTTTGTGACAAATAAAACTGTTCTTCACCGTCCCCTTCCTCCCGCAGTGTAACTGTCAGTGCTGGGTTTGTGCTTCACGTCCAGGAAACATCACGGGTCTGTTTACGTCAGATATGTTCACATTATATTCTTTGGAGAGTCCTGCGTGGACATTGTGGGAAGTAATACACAAYGCTTTGTAGAAGGAGAAGCAGAAAACAGTTTACAGCAAAACATCGCTGGGAAGGTTGCTCAGACGTTTAACTTGTTTCACGTTTGTGAAATTCGACATAAAAACAGCTGAAGTTAAGCAAGTTATTTAAAACTAATAGTCTGAGCATTTTAGAAGTGATTTTTTTTTCAAATAGGTAGTACCTTAGCTTTGATATCAGTCATAGAAAAGAGTACAGTCCAGGGCYCATGTGTCAAAATTAATAAACAAAAAAGAAATTATATATATACTTTTTTTAAATTAATTTGATATGAAAACACCAATGGCAAATTAGAACTTTYAAATTCAGTGCCACAAAATACATTTAAAAGGTGAAAGATAAAACTTGTCCTGCCCCTGAGCTATTGGCTTTAAGTAACTGTGGCCCCCTGAGCTATTTTGTTAATAGCCCCGTATTAATGTCTCAAAATAAGCAGTTTTAAAGCCAGCATTGACCATAAACTACATCCCCCATAATGCATGTTGAATATGCATGGACGTTCCCATCAGAAAGTGGGAGAGTTCTGAATTCAAAACTAATTACAAGTCATCAGTGAGTAAAACTCTCTTACTTCTACTTTTAATAGTATTCCTGTATTATTCATTTCACATTTAGTCAGTTGTACAC